CGGTGGAGGCCCCATCCCTGGCAACATCCCAGGCCAGGCTGGACGGGGCTCTGAGCACCCTGGGCTGGTTAAAGCTGTCCCTGGCACTGCAGGGGCTGGGCTGGGTGGGCTCTGAAGGTCCCTTCCAACCCAAACCGCTCCATGACTCTATGAGTTTCAGGTCTTTGGACCATACAGATTTGAGCTGGGATGATCAAGCAGATGATTTTCTTTCCACCACCACAGCATGTGCAAAGTGTGGAAAGTGGCTAAAAGAGGTGCAGTGTCAACGTGGGGAGCATGAGGACATGTGCACTGCTGATTTCTTGTTGACTCAACACTAAGTTGCTTATGTCAATTAAATATTGCCTATGCATTTTTGATGGAAAATGCCACAAGATAGGCTGCCTAAGCCTGTGCCCAGAGGCATTTTGATTTTTGAGGTTCAGGTGTTGAGCTGAAGTAATGAGAAGAAGATGATTATAAGATGGGGCCTTCAGATTATAATGTCTTGGGGCATGCATTATCAGTCATCACAACACTGTAAACGTGCTCAGGATGTAACACTGAAAGGTGTCTACTGACACCCTGTGCCTAGGCACAGCTTGAGCCTCCAAGAATATTGACATGATGAGCAGGATTTCAGGTATGAGGGGAGGACACCAAGGTGGTAAAGAAGATGACAGTAGGTCAGTTGTCATTAAAGCTGGTGGTAACTCTCTTTCTGTGTTGTTTTTCTGCCAGAGGTGCATTACTGGATGCACACGCACATCCCAGGCTCATAGTCAACCTCAGAGTACAAATCCATATAAAACCCGACTGCCTTGCAAGGACTGAAGACCTTGTTGGTCCCATGCTGTCCTGGCTTTTAAATATTGCCCTCTACAGCTGTGAGCTAGCTCTTGCTGGTGGTATCCTGAGAGGTTTCTGAGTGTTGAACTAGGTGTGAACAGGCTCATGTCACCACCAAGATCCCAACCAAGAACCCATGTGGACAGGGAGGCTCAAGATGCATTAGATACCACCACCTAGTGGGTGAAAGAAGCTGTACCACAGTGGTGTAAAGCTGGTCTTTGCGCTGGCTCTCCCACTCTCTCTCTGACTGATGGAGTTCTGGGCTTGAGCCCTCTTCGCTGTGCAGATGTGGCCAGAATAAGAAGTTCCTTCCTGACTTACTTTGGCAAAAAAGCTGTGAAATCAGTCAGGGCTACATTGTAGCACCATGAAAATTGCGGGCCTCCTATCTTCATTGCTGGGCCTCTTTCCAAAATTCCTGGTGATTAGCAGTAAATTAATGAGCTGTGATTACCCTGGGAACTCCTCCCCTGGTGCCCACATACGCATACAACCCTCCCTCTCCTGAAAGGGAGCTGCAGGAAACACAATTACTCTGACACGAAAACACGGAGTTCCATCAACAAGTGGAGAAGGTCTGGTGTATTTTACACCTAGAGACTCTCCACTGTCAAATGACACACAAAAACTTTGCCTCCTGCAGCAAGTTGGGTGGGATGAGATGAAGGTGGGAGAGAAAAGCAGAGCTGACCTTGTGGTCCTCCAAACTACAGCCTGAGCTGGGCAATTGAGAACAGCCCACGGGTTGCATCAGGTGGCATCATCTGCCTTCTGGGGACTCAGGGTCATCAAGGAACATCTAGGCTCACAGTCAGAGGTGAGGCTGATCTGGATGGATGAACCTTTTGCTATGTCTGGGGGTGTGAAAACCCAAGTTCAGAAGTTTTGCTTATCAAAGTGTATCTATGGGAGGAAAACTTTTGAAACTGTCCATGACCCTGTAGGCTCTAACCACAGCAAGAAAACAGAAACTCCAAGCCAACTCTTTCTTGCTTGAAAGGAACCAAACTCTCCTTGCTAGCAGCATGGCCAGGCAGAGCGCCATGAGATCACCGAGCCCAGCTCAGGAGGTGCAGGAGGACCATCAAGCATCATGGCACCTCATCACCAGGGCCATGCAGATACAGCAGTGGGATTCAGTGGGAGACCAAGGAGAGACAAACTGGAAGCACAAAATGAAGACTGAGTCAGCGCAGCTCCAGGCCAAGTGCCCTCCTCCTGGGCTCCAATCCTGCTCTTCCAGCTGGGATTGCCACGGACTCTTCCTGTATTTAAGCAGCCAAGTGAAACACCCAGGACTTCAAAAAAAAAATGTAGGTGTAATTGATAGTGCTGTCAAGAACCTGCAATTAAGCTAGTTGTCTTTCCAGCTACTTCATACCATCAATTATTTCTCTTGCTGGGCTAAGGGCAGGATGTTCCAGTGCAGAACATTTGCAAATAATGAGGCACAAGAAAACCTTTGGCATCAGCTGCTCTTGGAGACAGAATACCAGCAAGGTTTCTGGTAACCAGTTTTGTTTTTCGTCAGCCTTCTTGCGAAAGGTGGTGAAAAAGCCCTCCAGTGAGCCCAGTGGAAAAAAAAAACAAAACCAAAAAATTCCTGCAAAAGCAAGGAAAGAAATGAACAAGTGAAATACTATCAAATTTCTTGGGAATTTAAAATGCTTAAATGTTTAATTGCCAAAAAACCTGACCAAGGTTTGAGCCCGTTGAAAAAGCTAAGGATTAGTATGGCACAATAGCAGGGGAAAACCATTTATTTCAAATCATCTGAAACGAAACCTTCACCTTTCTGTTTTGAAACAGGCTTTGGCAGGAAGCCACGAGGACAGAGATGTAATGTTGGCTGCACCTCTGAGGTATTGTAAGGCTCTCAGCAAATATATTAAACTTATCAGCCTTTTTTTCCCCATCTGTCAAGCGACTCTAATAAATCTTTTTTGTTTTGCTTGAGGTATCCCAAGGGTTTTAATTACAAGCTCAAATAGAAAGGATAGTAACAGAGAGTAGCCATACAGCAGCTGTATTAATAAGGTATTTTTGCAGGATACTGGTTGCTGGTGCATTCATAGTCTGCCCACCAAGGCCAAGCCTACCGCTGTTTCCAATTAAGTGATTAACAAGCATCCAGTTAACAGCCTTGTGGTTGAACTTCCTATTTTCTAGGCTATTTACTGTCTTCTCCACGCAAGTCTCATTTTTCGGTGTGTTTACACAATCAGAGCTGAAAACTTAATGAGAAGATATAGCTATGCTAATTTATTCTTCTAAAAGTTGGGCATCCAAGTCTGAGCTGGTCACTTTAGACTTTCTTGGACTCAGTGAAGAAGAGGAAGGCTCTCTGGAGAGCAGTATCTCAGACATGCCTGTCTCAGCACAGACCTAGCACCAAGAATTAGAGGAGATGAGTCCTGCCCAGTAAGTTATGGTCTTTAACTGAGGATGGTGTGCGGAGGGCTATTTATAAAAAAGAAGTATTTTGCACTCTTGTGCAAAATTTGCGTGGCCAGTCCACACTATGGTTCCCAGCTTCCAAGCACTGGGCTGCCTCTGGCTGTGCCTCATGGATTCATACTGTCCTTTGTGAAAGGAGTGACTATGAAAAGAACAGAACTGCAAAAATTACTTATAATTTGCTGTTCAACAGAACATTTCTTTACAGCTTGTCCTTGACAAAGGAAGATACTCTTAAGGCCATTTGCTAACCTGTAATTAATGTAAGGAAGGAGGACGAACTAAAACAAAAGAAGACTCCTCACAAAACCCGGCCCATGGGATCCTTCAAGCTGAGTATGCAAGCAAAGTGATTTTAAAACAGTAAAATTCCATAGGATTTCACAAATGTTCGGTGTTAGGTATTGTTTTGCATATTTAAACCTATGAATTGCTGCCAGGCAAGGCAAACCCCAAGGAAACCCCAAATTATTCATCTGCATCAACCAAGCCCCACTTCTGAGATGTGTATAAAGGAGGCGCTCAGGGTTGTCAGAGAAGAGGGGCACCTTTTTGAGCTGCAAGCTCTGCTGTCCTCCAGCATCCTCTTCTCCATCACATCTGCCAGCACGAGCCAGCAGCTGTCAGCTGGAAGGTCTCTTCGTGGAATAAGGTTCTTATCATCATCTGCTATGAGTGGCATGAGCTGCTGCCGAAGTAGTGCTTTCCCCTCTGCTGCACTATTTGGAAGAGGATATGGAGCCGGGAGCCACAGCAGCCAAAGCCTCCAAAACACAGATGGGTGTAAACAGCTTTCTTCTGGCCGAAGGCTTGCACAGGGAATCTGTGGAGGTTGGAGGTGCAGGGACATCCATGCCAACAGTGAAGGTGGGAGTTGTGGGGTAGGCTTCCACAGCAGGAGCTGCAAAAGTGAAGGTATTCATGTGGTGCGTATCAATGAGAGCCTGCTGCAGCCTCTTGATGTGAAGACCGACCCTGAAATCCAGCACAGCCAAAAGCAGGAGAGCGAGCAGATGAAAAGCCTCAATAACCGGTTTGCCTCTTTGATTAACAAGGTGAGAGCTGAGGCAAGACTTAAAGGAATGATGAGGTTCAAGCGTGAAGAAAACCTTCTTGTGCTCAGGTCTTTGATCCCTCTCTTTCTCTCACTCTATTACATGAGCCTTGTGCTGGTTTTAGCATGCATGGCTCTAGCACCATAAGCTGCAAGTGCAGATCTAGCTGATAATGTTATTTTAATCTGGCTATTTGTGTGCTTTCATAAGCTGCATCTGTTTTTATTATTAATAGCAGAAGGGAGCTGTTTCTCCAAGGTATCTTACTGAGCTTCTGCACTGTTGACTTCTCTCTGTGCAGGCAGACCTTGTAAAGTTGCATTGTCTCCTGTTGATAAATGATGTTTTCCATTATCAGCCCATTGATATGCAGATCTATTTAAATATTCCATGGTTTCTGTAGCTGCCACAAAGGCTGTGCTGTCTAGGGCTTCCTTCGAAAACAGGAGAGCATCACACCCAGTATACTCTAGGATTCTTGGATTATGAAGATCACAGTGTCCCTCTTTCGTCCTCTTGTCTCCTTCAAACCATAATGAGCCCCTGGAGCACTGACTCAGAAAAGAAGATGCCTTGTTCCCTCCACATTCATCTGGTCCCCATACAGTGCATCTAAGCATGCACCTGAAGAAGGTGGTTTTGCTTTCTGAATGCAGGTACAGCATCTGGAGCAGCAGAACAGGGTGTTGGCCACCAAACGGGACCTCCTCCAAAAGAAGGTCCTGCCATCCCAGAAGAACATCAAGCATGTCTTTGACAACTTCATTTGCAGCCTGGAGAGGCGGCTGGACTCATTGCTGCACAAGAGGGGGCAGATGGAGCCTGAGCTGGATGACATGGAGAAGCTCGTTAGAGTTCAGATGCAAGTGAGTGAGCAGAAACCATCCACAGGGCAGTGAATTCAAACAGCTTGGGACCCTTATTTTTGTCCGTATCAATAGACTTCTCTCTGAGGTCCAAAAAGCTGAGATCCAAAAGGATCCTGACCTCTAAATACCCAGACAAACAAGGTCTCCAGTCTCAGAATGACCCAGCAACCAGTCTCTTCCCTAACAGATACGAGCAGGAAGTGAACAGACGCACAGCTGCCGAGAACGAGTTTGTGTTACTGAAGAAGGTAAGGAACATGGATGAATGGAAGGGCTGGATGCAGAGATCCAAGGACTTTCCTCTCATCTGCTTCTTGCAAGGCAAGGGTCAGATCTTGAGAATGTTAAAAGTCATGGGACATGTATGGATGCAGAGTATTGCTGGAGAGCATTAAACCTCTGCATAGAAAATATATTTAATTTCAAACAGACAGCTTGCTAGTCCTAACGCCCAAACCATGATGTTTTTCAAGCGAGAACTCAGTGATATTGTACATGCTTTTGGGATCCCTCAGCTGTTGCTGTTCTGGGGGTATCTGAGCTTCCCAACTACATTTCCTAAAAAAAAATTCTTACTCTAAAAATATAATGAAATTGCCTTAGGTCTCTGTATAGGCACTATTTTGATGTCTAAATGGCTGGGAACTCTTTTAGGATGCAGACTGTGTCTATCTGACCAAGACAGAGCTGGAAGCAAAGCTGGAAACCCTAAAGCAGGAGATAGAGTTCCTGAAATGTGCTTCTGCTCAGGTATGGACGCTCCTGTCCCAACCTTGCTTGATGGCAGCTATTCCTACCAGCTGCTCCTTGTTTACATTGATTCAGGCCTGATTAAACCAATCCATCAAGCTCTCTACAGGAGGCAATGGGAATCCCAGATAAGGAAGACTTTGAGATCTCCCCCCCCCGCCCAAGCTGCATGTGTGACCAAATCCAGTCTCAACTCCTGGGTTGTGGCTCAGGACAAACTCTCAGTGGTGGTGTTACTTCTACTGGAGTGTGAGATAAGAAATCCAGGGACAGCTCACTTCCACTTCACGTGGCTTCTAGGAAATTGCTGAGCTGGAGAGAAGTCCCTGTGACACCTCTGTTGTGAAAATAGACAGCAGCCGAGGCCTGGACATGGAGGGCATCCTCAGGAGTGTTGAGTGCTGGTATGAGGACATGGCTCAGAAAAGCAAGGCAGAGCCGGATGCGTTGTACGGAACTAGGGTAAGTTATAGCATCCATGAACATATCCTTAATTCTCTCACTGTCAAAAGTAGCAGTGGAAAGGTGGGATTTTTTTCTTTCTGTCTTTACTATGTAACTTCTGCACCTAATTTTCCATTCTGCTAAACCGGATGGGGTCTCAAAGTCAGGAGAACATACCTAAACCAGGTACAGTGCAGGAATCAGTCATGCTGGGAATGGGGAGGTTGTAGTAAGTTGAACACTGAGAGCTAAAGGAGGAAAGCTCCATTTGCTGCTGAAAGTCTCAGGAGCTGCAAAGACTTTTCTAAAGCTAGTTTAATTCACTTTGGAAACAGAAAAAAGGCTCCTATGTTACATACACTGCCTGTGTTAATTGCCACCTCTCTCTTTTCCTACAATCAGTGTCAAGAGCTTGAGGAGGCAGAGGGGAGACATTGCAATGAACTGAAGTCCCACCAGCAAGAGACTGAAGAGCTGAGTTTTGAGATCCAGAGAAGGCAGTGTGACCTTGAAAATATGAAGAAGCAGGTACAATGGATCATATTAACTCTCTGGTTCTCTCTAGGAGAAGAGATCCCAAGTCATGTTTTCTACATCTCTGTGGCATTTCTTTTGTCTTTATTGAAGAGCATTGCCTCACACGGGCTCCACTGGCCTAGAGGAGATCTCACCAGTGCTGAGCAGGGAGGAATAATTATCTGCTGGCCTATTTTCTACTGGATTATTTTGATTATCGCAAAGAACTAATTGCACCAAATCAGATCGTTGGATTAGCTACAGCCACTTGGAAAATTGCTAAAATTGCTCCAGCAAGAATTGTGGCAGGAGACAATACTTCTGACATAGGTTCAAAGCATCCAGTAAGTAGGGTAGAATTATGACTCACCAGCAATTCAGCACCCATAGAAACTGGTATAATTTTCAGACCATCTAATTCATTATATAGTTTATAACGGGAAGTAATAGAAAACCTTAATTATTAGTTCAAATTAGAACAAAGTATTCATATCCTCAAAACAAGGCTTAAACAGAGTCTGGCAGTACAGGGACATGTCCAGCCTTTCTGTAGTATTTCAGAACTGATATTTGATTTTGGAAACATTTGCCTTCCTAAAAACAACCTCAGTACTTCCCAATTTGGGACTCTCAAAAGAAGCGAGAATTTCTCTTTCAAAGGTGAGTATGGCAAGAAAGAGGACAGGGAAGGAAGGACTTCTTGTGTCTCCTCTGACAGGTCTCCTCTCTGCAAACATCAGTTTGTGATACTGAGCAGCGTGGGGATTGTGCCTTGAAAGATGCCCGGGAGAAGCACGCTGAGCCGCAGAATGCCCTCCAGAAGGCCATGGATGAGCTGGCTTGCATGCTGCGGGATTACCAGGAGCTGCTGAATGTCAAGCTGGCCCTGGATATTGAGATTGCAACATATAAGACTCTACTGGAGGGCGAAGAGAGCAGGTGGGTACCACTACAACCATGTGTGGGCAGTGTTCAGTTCTTGGACTCTTCAACAGAGACAAGGAGGCTGGAAAATCCTAGAAATGCTAGTTACGTGATGGATAACCTTGTGACCTTCTTCTCCTTCAGGATATGCCTTGGGAGCCCTGTAAGACTGTGTAAGTAAGCTCAAGGTTGTCTATTTTCCTTACAACATTAAACAAACTAGTTCTGGTTTGCAGGGGGAGGACGAAGGCTGTGTCCTCCCCATGAGTGATTCAGCTTGTGTTTTCCCACGACAGTGATCACCACCCCCTGCAACACCATCTCTGGCTGTGAAGCCAACTTGGGATGTGGATCTGGTAGACTGTCCAGAAGCTGCAGGTCCTCCTGTAGCACTGGTAGAGCATCCCTACCCAAAGACGCTGGTGCCTGCCACAGAGGATTCACCTCCAGAAGTGTTGCCAGCTCTGTAGGCAGGCAGTATATCCCTGGTGCTCCCAGCTGCGTCCCTAGGAGTGAAGAATTTAGGGCCGGCGGTGTGGGCCATTCGTGCCAGAGCTTAGCCCCTCTGGGCACTGGTGGACTCTGCAGTGAGTTGGCCAGGGGTAAGGATTTCAACTGGACCTCCGTGCCCCAGGAACACCCAGATCATCAGCTGTGAGAGTCAGGACAACCAGGCCGTAAGACCTAAAGTAGAAAAATGAAAGCCCTGTTCCACTTTCAGCGGTAAAAATATCCTCAACACCACCTCACACACGAGGAAGAGGCGTACTGGGTACAAGCACATTGTAGCATCATGAAACCACATCAGAGAAACTCCAACTGGGATCACATCAAAAAAGGGACACTTAAAACATACTCCTTTTGATTTATGCTGTTTCTTTAAAGGACTGGTGGTTGTGTTGGGGCACTTATCATTATCACTCAATTCCTGCTTCCCACCAGCCTTCTTTTTTTTCCCCGATTAAGACTTTGCTATCCATGAAACAAGTTATGATATTTAATTCAGAATCCTTTCCCTCTGGGAAGTGCTCTGGGAAGTACTTCTAGAAATGAGCTCTCTAGGACTCACCATTTCATCAAAGTCTATCTGATGTAATTTTAGGCAAGTCAGTGGAGTTGTAGTAGTGAGACACACCGGGTCACGGAGAGGAGGGGCAGAACCCCAGTGATGTTCTTTGTTTGCTGTCTTGGAGCAGTTTGGTCATCCATATGCAGGCAGGCAAGTCATAAAGGAAATCTCAACTCAAAAAAACACATTTCACCCTCTGTAGTTCAGCAAAGAGTAATTATGTCGCTTGTACTCCTACTAGCTTCCTTGCTTGGTGTCCTGACATATGCATAAATTACAGCACCCTCGCTTCTATCTTTATGACTCAAGACCTTTAAACTTTTTGCTCTTTTTCCAATAAAGCGCATGGAGAACAAATGTGTCGCCACATGGTTTTCAGTATTTCCCAAGAATACAGAAATGCCCTATTCCTAAAGTGGACAACACATATCTGCTGATGAGAAGTCTTAACACTTAAGCAGAGGTGGCAAGGCTGCCCAGAGAGTGTCATATAGAGCCAGTCTTTGGTTGGTGTAAATTATGGAATCCTTTAAAAGGATTTAAAAGCCAGCTTATTCATGCTGATTTGCACCAAATTTGGCTCCTACCCAGTGCTACTCAATGGGTGTTTTAAGATGCATAGAGAAGTCATCTCAGTCTCTTTGCATTTTTATAGCGTGTCTACCATGGAGGTGTCACAATAAAACACATTTTATACCTACTCAAAATCTGATGCAATAGGGTCTTTATAGGAAAAAACTCAGGAATGTGCTTGGTTGCTTTTTTCAGCATCATTTTAGAAATCCTACAACTACCAGTTTAGGATTTCAAAGCAGATCAAAGGGAGATATTTTATTGTACATTTGAGCAGATTAAAAAAAGAAGCCAACAAATTAGGAACGTAAATCAACCACAAATGACTGAAGTGTTTTACGATTAAAGTGATGAAAGCCAACAAGCAGAACAAAGAAATGAGCCATACAGAGGCAAGTTGGACAGATACATGTTTTACAAAAGGGGGAATCTAGAGGGGAGGTCTTTCCTATCCACAGCAATTACCGTGATTCAGAACTGGAAGACCTTTCTCTCCCCCCCATAATTCTCCTGTGATAGGAAGCTATTTCCCAATCAAATATGAGGAGCACAAAAGAAAACAGTCACAATCTTTAATGAAGAAAACCACAAGAAAGATTTGACAAGAAAAGAACAACCGAGGATCCATAAATATTCATTATGAGGGGTTTAAGTATCTCATAAAGGTTATGGTGTTCCCATTGAAAATAGATGATCCTGTCACTTTTTATGCAAAAGAAGAATAAGTCAGGGAAATGACACAGAATTAGCGTTGCTTTCTCACCTCCAAACTCCCCCCTGCCATCATTTCCAGACCTGATAAGTTAAATTAGCGAGTGCTTTACTTTAAACCTGCGACCAGTCTCTCTGAACATCAGCGCTTCATGAACCAGCCGGGTGTTTCTTCAGACATTCAGCAGTACATCACAAAGCTGCACAAACCAAACCAAATCAAATCAAACGTGGGCTTGGGCACTAGGGCTTCAGCATAACAAAAGGAAGAGCTTATCTCCTGCCGGCTGAATATTCTTCCCAGGAGGACCTGACCCAACTTCCATGGGCAATTCCTTCTGTATGGCTCAGAGAATCTCTTCTGCCCAAGAAAACAGCTTAAACTGGAAGGGGTAAGAGCTCCTGTAGGTTTATAGGGAAGTTGCTGTAACCTAATAACAACTGCAGTATTTTTTTCCCCTAATCTTTTTCCCCTAATTTTTTTCCTAATCTTTTTGCTTTAACAGGCAGTGGGATGCCATCCCGTTCAGGGGCCTGGATTCCCATACATCCCACATTCATTTCCACTGTGCAATTCTGTGGGAGGAAGACATCAACATGAAAAAGATCAAAACAATCCTTTGCTTTGTTGCAAGCCTCAGCTTTACAGGCACTAATCACCGCACGGAGATATGATATATGCATACATCAGGAACCGGGCAAATCTAGAGAGCATGTGATGTTGTGTACTCTCATTAAGACTTCAAAGGTGCTAAAGAAATTTGGTGCCCAAAGGGTGGGACTAATTTCACCTAACTTTAACCGTCCAGAAGTGGGGCGCCTGCTCTAGTTGTCTGGTTGTCTAGACTGCCTCTGGTAGTCAATAAGAGAGGTAAGTACCTCCAGAGGTGGATTCCTCCCACCTGCCTTAGCTGCCTATTTTAGGATGCAATGAATCACCGTCTGGAGATGCCTATCTCTTTCCATTAGCTATAGACGGAGTCTCAAAGACAAAATTAGAATACATGGCTAGTTTGATGGCTGAAGTAGGGAGGAAGGTGCACCCAGGCCCAGTGTTTGATGAATTTTATGAGGAACATCCTTTGAAAATCCCAGCCTCAACTTCTAACATACAGAAGATGTAGGTTAATGAGAGGAAAAAATACATTACCAGATTGAATTCCCTTGGACAGCTTTGGGTTTAAGATACAAGGGAATGAGGCTGCTCTAATCAAATCAGTTCTTTAACATCTCTTCAATGACATGGACAAGAGTCTATACAGTCCATGAAACAGTGTGTAAAGAATACATGTTACGACCCAATCTTACATTTATCAAATGCTGTTAGCACAGGTAGGTTATTGCCATTGTCCTATCTGAATGCAATGAGTTTTCTATGGCTGTGGATAATTACAGAGATGGAGCATGGCTCTTTGAGACTATCGCATAAAACATATTTTAAGAGCTAGTTTGGATTCATCTCCAGAGGCAGCAAACAAGTTAGTGAACTTCACATGTTCTTATAATGAATTCCATTTTCAGCACCACATTCAGGGAGAAGAATGCTGACAAAGGGAGAGATTGCAAGTTGTCAAAATGACTCATTCAATCCCTCATCAAAATATTTTCCTTTTTTGCTTCCTCAGTCCTTCCCTTCCATTTTTTTGAGTCAAAAAGATGCAATTTTTGCTTCAGAGTACTCTCCCATTTCCCATGTCCATACTCACAATAACAAATTGTTGATTCCTGAGATCTTAGGTACTGAACAGGCGAAACACTCGTTGTTCTTTGGAAAGACCTGAAAGACATTAAATGAACCTTCTGCATAGCTGCCTTCTCACTGAGATTCAGGAGCAACAACAGGGATTGGCTAACACAGAAATTTTACCCAATACTGGGCAACTTATGCCCAAAATCTCTTACCTATCAGGAAGCCAGTGGCTCTGGTGAGGTGTTTTGGAACTGGGGCTGCTGCAGCCAGTTGGTTCACAGACGTTTAATTGCAGTCTATGATACGTTCCAGGTGTCTCCCACACAGCCGACGTGTATAATGGGGTGCAGAAAGGGAGCAGTGGCACACCAGCCTTCAGTTTGACTTCTGGTCCAGGATGCAGTTTTCCTATACAGAGCTTGTAACAATTGGCTTTTGTACTCTTCTCAGGATTCAAATATGTATTTTGCTTCTGATAAATCTTTGTTTAGAATTTAAAGGATCTGGGAATTCACAAGCTTTAGCTTGAAGTCTTTAATATTTGTTTTAACTGATATTACCAATTGTGCTGGCAACCCCGTATAAACTGTGAACAGTATAAACTACTATAAACAAAGGTGTAATCTGAAAGTCATGCTGTAAATATGTTGAATTATCCCATTTGTCTAAGGCAAAAGTATCAGTTTACGCAACTAATTTATACCACCAGCCCCTCAAACTCACGTAAGTTGCAATTACACGTTCAATTAATAGCCTTGTGAATCTTGGTGCTCCAGTCACGTCCTATGGTTTCGGTGTGTGTGTCTTCTTTTTAAGGACTTGATACTAGACGGTTTAATGTTTTAAGGAGGTTTAGCATTGTTTTTACCATTAGCACTGCCTGATCCTAACTCCTGGAAAATGTTTTCGGAGGGAGTTAATGAGGATGAAGGAACACAGCTACCGGGTGTCTCCAGGTACTGTCATGTTGTATGTATAACATGCAGACTTCTCCAAGTGTCGCTCCCCTTCAGTTAGGAAGGGCTGAGGGCATTTAGTTGTTTGCACTATAATGTCTCTTTTTCTCCCCAACACTTTACTCTCAAAGAGCTGAAAGAGCCCTATTGTTTTGCCAAATGTCAGTTTGGAGAAGGCCCTGAGATGGCTGGCAGATAGGTTCACTGTCTCACCACCCTGGGCTGGTGATCAGGAGATTCATCTTGCCAATGTGAGTCAAAGCCATCTCTGGTGTCCAGTCTAATCTACTTATTAAGACTTCCTCTGTTGATGGAGAAAGACCAGTGCCTGCGGCGAGTGAATCACCCCAGTTCCCCTAAGCATGGGCCCAGGGGCTGTTGTCTCTCTCGGAGGTGTATCTCCACCGAGTGTCAAGGACGTGTCTGGCAAAGTCACCCGCATTTTAGCTGTTGCTTCTTGAATGAGGTGGATCTCACCAGGCTAAAATGTGCTACTGTTCCTTTTTTGTTCCCTGTAGAGACTACCAGAAGATGAGTCAAAAAGGTCTCTGACATCCAGATTGGTGGAAGCTCCAATATAGCGAGGGCCAAGGATTCAACTGTGTCAAACATACTTCAGGTTAAGAGTTTGTAGCATTGCTCAAGTGAAAATGTCACTGACTGCGTAGAACATAAACCTAGTAAGAAAACTGAAATATGCCTCAGTTTCTGGATGCAACCTGCTCTGTTTTGGTGGTGTTTTATGTGGTAAGGGAAGGTCAGTGTGAAATGCGGCATGGGAATGTTTTTGGGGGGCATTTTGAGTCCTTTCATATGAATCCAGACCCATAACTCAGTGAATTTGTTGGTGTTTCAGGCACAGAGATGATCTATCCATCACAACATGACTTCCGTGGTGTTTTTCCATGGTTGACTTTTTTTTTTTTTTTTTTTTTTTTTTTTTTTTTTGTTTTGTTACTTTTCCGCACCCAAAACAAGCCTGGTGAGAGAAAAAAGGAGAGATTGTGAAATTACCCCCACAAAGTGCAAGTCTGCAAAACATGCCATCATACACAAAACCCCATGAGACACAAAACCCCAAACGACACACTGCAAACAAATCACAAAGAGTTTCTTCAAAAATGTTTGCTAAACTATAATTAGCGTAAGTTAGGGGAGCACTTCAAACCGTAATATATTCTAAGCTAACTTGCAAACAGAGCACTTTTAGATTCCTTTTTATTTCCTCAGTAGTTAGTATTTGCTGGGCTGTTTTGCATTTTGAGGAGCATTTATTGCTGCCAGGCAAACCAAACCCTTAAGCGCTTTAAATTAATGTCCTGATCCTATCAAGGCCAGTTTCCCAAATGTATATAAGGGGTAGCATCACTGTGTCACTTCAGCGGGATCTCTGTTCCTCTCCTGCAGAAGAGCTTCCCCTAAACTTTCATATTCCACCTTCCAATAAGCCACGATGAGCAGACAGGCACCTACAGTGAGATCTGTCCTGGGACGAAGAGGCTTCAGTTCAGCTTCAGAGATTTGTGGTCGAAGCTACGCCGCCTCCGCCTGTCAGCCTGTCCGATGCGGAGCTGGTGCCTATAGCAGCAGGAGCGTCTGCAACCTGGGTGGAAACAGGAGAATTTCCTACGTGAACGGGGTCTGCGGTACCGGATGTTTTGGAGAGTTCGGCTTCGGCGGCATAGGCTACGGTAATGTTGGAGGAAGGGTTGGCCTTTGTGGCCCCAGGGGATACAGTATCATGAGAGGTTACCCCGATCGCAAGGCTGACGGCATCCAAGGTATCTGCATTGATGAACGGCTTCTGAAACCCCTCTGTGTTGGGGTCGACCCGCTGGAACATGAAATACGCTGTCAGGAGAAGGAACAGATCAAGACCCTCAACACCCAATTTGCCTGCTTCATCGACAAGGTGAGTGCAAACCTGCTCCATACTTGCACTTCTTTGAGAAAAATAAAACGCAACCAACCTCCTCCAAAACCCCAGTCCAGCTTGTGCCCTGAATCACTGAGCTGGGTCCATGCAAGGGTCCAGATTCCCACAGAGCTGTTGGTTCAGGGTGAGATTGTCAATATGGGGAAGGGCTCCTTCCAGCCACATACTGGTCCTAGTATTTGATGGTGTTTGTATCGTGGCCACAGGAGCACTGGACTTCCTCGCAGGTGTCTCCTCTCTGGATGGCCTCAGTTCAAGGCTGGATTTCTCATTGCAGCCTTGTTCCAGCTCAGCTGGAAGTTACAGCCCTGACGGGCTCATCTTTCTGTCCTGTATTAGACCCTTTTCTCTGCTTTGTCTTTAAATATAGCAACTGTTCCAAAAACATTCCTGAAGGCAAAGGAGGTTAATCTTGATTCAGGCACCTAAACTTTAGATATCTAAGTCTGGGCTGTCACTTTAGGATCCCTTTGTAGAAAAAGAAGAGACAAACAGGTTCCATCCTCTGGGGACTCAATCTCATCCTAAAATACATCAGAGGCACCATCCAGAGGAGCTTTACTTCTATTTATTGGTGAGAAAGGCAGATTTAGACATGTGACTTTTAGATTTCTAAATAATTTAGACATGTGACTTAGATTTCTAAATAAGGGCAAATAATTTTATGATCATCATGGCATATCACCTCTCACTTCCTGAAAATCCTATTCTTACACCTGCAGTTTCACAATGAGAGCAGACAGTTAAACCAGGTATCGAGTTATTGCATTTATCTCTTTAGTTGAAGAATTGCTAACTTCTGGCCTGCAGGTGCGATTCCTGGAGCAGCAGAACAAAGTGCTGGAGACCAAGTGGGGCCTCCTGCAGCAATATGTCCTACCAAAGAAAGGGAAAAACCTTGAACTGTACTTTGAGAATTACATCTGCGACCTGCGGAAGCGCCTGGACTGCTTGCTATGTGAAAAGCAAAAACTGGGCAGCGAAGAGTGTGCCACAAGCCAGCTGGTGGAGGAGTTCAAGTGCAAGTAAGGACCTTCACGTCTCCTCTAGCTGTTGGCATTTCACTTCTCCTCTGGTTCATCTCAGGCAACATCTCCCAGACATGTGGCACATCCCCTTTGGGGATGTCACATTCTTCTGTCTCACTTGCAAACTCTTTGCATTGTTAATGTTGTTGTTCATGAAGAAGCTTCTCATCTTGGGATGGTCTAATGTTTGGTCTCCAGGCACTGATCTTACAGTGCCTGATGGCAGTCTCTGAGCAAGCGAAGGTTGTTATTTATACCTGATGGTTAATGTCTCTGTGTCTGACAGTATTGCTTGGCTCAGCCCTTTTCTTCTCCTTTTCCAACAGATATGAAGAGGAAATCAACAGGCGTACAACTGTGGAGAATGAGTTTGTGGCACTCAAAAAGGTGAGAAGCTCAAAATACATGAATCATTATACCTGCAATAGGTTTATTTGGTGTAAATCTTAGCTGAAATAGTGCATTATTAGCAAATGCCCAGCAAAAATGTTATAATGAGCAGAAGGAGGGAGGCCGGTAAAGTGGCACAGGGTCAGAAAAAGAGGCAAGTGCAAACAGAAAGTGAAAATAATGTATCCTCAAAGCTTACATCATCAGCAGTACAGCAATACTTTTGTTACCCCAAGCACATACTTGAAGTGTAATGGGAGGGTGTATTTGTGGAAGGGGGACGGGGTGGGAGAGGTCACACTGGAATACCTGGTGTCTAAGACGCTGGTTATTTTCTGACAGTCTCTTCACATCCTTTATACTTGGACATCAGAAAAGCAGAAATCATTTGAACAATATTAAAAAAATATGTTTAAATACCCATTAGTCAATTCTGAGTTTGTAGCTAGGTCCTAAGTAATAAATAAACTAATCCCTGTAAGTCACGTTGGAATGGTTTTGTTTTCCTTTAGGAGACACCAGGGCATCTTGACTCATCCTCTCACACCTTTCTGCTCTTGAAATCGTGTTGAAACACGTTTCTGTTCTATTGGCGCTGCCTCTGTCTGCTGTGTGTTTCTCCAGTGTTTTCAGCGAGATTGGGCTGGAACATGTCTCCTCTCTTTCAGGATGCAGACTGTATCTTTTTGAACAAGGAAGAGCTGGAGGTGAAGGTGGATCTGTTAAGAAGGCAGTTGGAGTTGTTGAAATGTGTGTTTGAGGAGGTGAGTTTCTCTGGTCCATCCAAGGAGTCTGGTGGTGCTGTCTCATCCTTCAGGTGCTCCAAATTTCTACAGCGTGAAACCCCTCTTGGACATGTCTCATCCCAAGCCCTGAACACTTGAAAGCACGGAAGTACAAGGTTGATATAATATTAACACGATTATGCTGGAATTAGGGTGGTTCCCCCTTTCTTAATGCAGCTCCAGGTATGAATTGGCTGTGTCCTAACTCTAGCTCTGAGATGCGTCTGTCTAGTTACTCCGGATTGCAGTTGTCTGATTAGAGCTAAAGAAACTCCCAGCTTAATCCTGTCATTAACATCAGTAAAGCAGCTGAAGATGACAGGATACCAAGGGTTAAGTCACTCAAGTTCCTTGCCCTTGATGTGGGTAGAATTGCTGCAGGTCAGCATGTAGGTCAGCAGCTGACATGTGGCAACGCATCCAGCAGGGAGGATTTTCTGCTGAGCCAACCTGAGGGACATTTCTTGACTTGTTGCATCCATCAGCTGAGCAGTGTGGCTCTTTGTCCCAGCCCTTCCTTCACTACAAAGTCTGAGAATTGCTAACAGCTGACTAAGCCATTCCCCAACCTGTAGGAACGAGCTCAGGTAGATCGCCAGCTATGTGACACTTCGGTCATCGTGAAAATGGACAACAACCGAGACCTGGACATGGAAAGCATCATCAAGAATGTTGAATGCTGGTACCAAGAAATAGCTCAGAAGAGCAAAGAAGAAGTTGATGCTTTCTACCAAACCAGGGTGAGTAAGAAGCAACCTGGGTGTCTGCCTGGCAACTTAACAGGCTGTAGGTCAAAACCAATGATTGTCTTGTTTCTTGGTTCCAGTTTCAGGAGCTTCAGGATAAGAGAGGCAAGTATTGCGACGATCTGCAAAGCAACAAGTGTGAGATTTCAGAGCTAACCCGGATGATACAGAAAATGCAGTGTGAGCTGGAGAACGTGAAGAAGCAGGTAGGAGGAGGCCCAGAGGCGATGTTTCCAGAAAGGGCAATGTCTTGGAGGACAGCTCAGATATGGGGGAAGATGACGCATTGGCCTTTAATAGACTTAAGACCTGCTCTAGGCTGTAGTTGGAAAGTGTATAGTTGAAAAGTGGATAGAGAGAAGGGGTGCTGGTGGTTTTTTTCTCTGTTTGTGGATTAATCCAAAACCAGAATGTCTAGCAATTAGAAAATGAAGCCTCGAAGACACCTGCACTGTTATCCTCCCCTCTTGACAGGTCTCCTGCCTGCAAACCTCCATCTGCGATGTTGAACAGCGTGGGGATTGTGCCTTGAAAGATGCCCGGGAGAAGCATGTTGAGCTGCAGAATGCCCTCCAGAAGGCCAAGGATGAGCTGGCTTGCATGCTGCGGGATTACCAGGAGCTGCTGAATGTCAAGCTGGCCCTGGATATTGAGATTGCAACATATA